AGAACACATCTGAGGTCTGGGATTTAAGAATAACTACCTAATTACTATTGTATCATTTTGACACCTTTGTCACAGTAAGACACATCAGAAGATTCTTCATAGAAATAGTCAACACCACTGGACAAAAGAAGGTACAAAGAAAAGATGTAAAGAGAACTGAAACAAATAGAAAGGCAAAATATGCATAGGCAAATACGCCTTAACTTATTGTGACAAAAGATTGTTGCACCTTTAATATGTAGTGTTGCACTATTCTGATTACCGGTCTCTAGGCACCCTGTTTCTCTATTTTTTGTTTCAGATTACATCATCACAGTTCGGAAGGTGAATCCGACTAGAGCAAGGACCACAGCTATCTGTCCATATGACACATTGTAGTGAAACCTAAATGAAAATCCAGCTTGGGGTATTCCTCCCTCAGAGAACAAAAGGAAGGAAGAAGATTGTGCGGAGGTCTCTCTTGCCAAGAGGTTTGTTTGGAATAAGGTGCTGGACTGAGTCACTATTAATACAAAAAGTTCCCTCCGAAAGTGGCCCTAACTCAGATTTCAGTCATATATCTGAAGTCCAATTTTGTATTCATAGCCTGCAGCAGAATATCCTGTAAGGGTTGGTTTTGCAACAGAGTGAAAGAAGCCCTTTACTTTCCACTTAAAGTGTAAGCAACAGATCCTATTTTCACTTTAGGAAGCAGAAAGCTTAGTACTCTGAGAACGGAGCCCAGCAGCCTTCAGCAGATGTAGTGTACAACTGGAGGGCTCAACGCTAGCCTCACGTAAATACTGATATGACCTATTTTAAGTATATTTATGCACACTATATGTAACTACAGTTTGTCAATCCATAAAGTTTACACAATGTTTATATGGATATGCACATGGATTTAGACAATCTAAAAACATCTAAAACCAAAACCAGGCCTAAGTCACCGGACACACAGCTAACGCACAGAAGATGAAGTGGCAAAATTTGCTTTTGCACATTTGTATACCTAAAGTGAGCAAAATTATGTTTTAAATATCTAATGGGATGAAAATTGATACAATTGATGGTTAGGTTTTGTAAAAAACATACAAAAGGCTCATCTCAAAACAAGTTTTTAAGAAATTTTTTTTTCTTCTATTTAGTTTTGACCATAATAAGCAACTGTTGCAATATTTGCAGTTGTAACCTTGCAGGGTGACTTTGCGGATGCCTGGATTTCATGGTGTTTGCAAAATGTCTAGGTCGAGACACAAACACATAAAAAATCCAGGTAGATGTAGTACAGAGCAGCTGCAGCCTGGGTCACAGGCAAGTAGATCCTCTGTCAAGCTCTGCATGTAGGGTTAGCTCCCCCCAGGAACTCTGGCAAACCCTCCCGGCCACTGACAGGACATGTTCTTGCCAGAGATTTCTTCACAGCCAGCTTTTCCACCACGACTGTGGAGAGGATCAAGACCAACAGTGCCAGCTAGCTTAGATCCAGACAGATCTGGTAATCTAATGAGAGTAGGCTCAATTCACTAGAGTATCTGCTTAGATACTTATTCAGCATAGCATTTAAATACTTGTTTACGTACTTACAGCCAATTGATTTTTTTAACAGGAAATTTAAAAATACTTCCAAGTGCTCTTCTGAGTATTACTGGACCTAAATAAATACAGAAAGGCTAATCTTGTAATGAAATGCTGCAATGAATCAGCACAGAACCAATGTATGTTTTTTTATATGTAGAGTCTGCATCATATTAAAATCCTTAAATTTATTTCCATCTGTTTTTCTAACACTGATCACTTTTCAACATAAATGGCAATATTTCCAAATTTTCATTGAAAATGAGAAAATCTCAAACCTGATTTCAGAATTCAATGAGAAACACAAAGTGAAAGACTTAAGGATAAGGGAAATGAAAGCCTAGATTGTTGTAACTTGTGCTTTTAAATTTCTTTATCATTCAAGGCCAACTTACAAAGTTGAGCATGTGAAAGTTTACATGTAAGCAACAGTGACACATTTGCAGGCAAACGTGAGGACACATTTGACAATGTATTTCAACAAATTGTCAACAATTAGTTTGCAAAGCTTCTGAGAGAAAAATCCAGATTCTGTTAAAATTACTTTTGATATGAATTTGACAGGAGGTGAGGATCTCATAAATGTCTCCTCTGCACCAGAGGCCATTTTACCACTAACCAAATCAATGCCATCAATAGAGGCACAACTACCTAGTGTGCATCCTGTCACACAAGTGTAGTATTTATATTCATGTTACTTATTCCCACAGGGGAAGCAGAACAAGTTATTTAAGTGTAAAATTCTTCTAATAAATACCATACTATACTGGTAAAACTCCTACCACAAGTCAGTGTAGAGCAGGGAATATACAAAGATGTCTTCGTAAAGTCTTCTCACAAAAGTACGATTTGTTATCAAGAGCATATTGAAACGCATACCAATATTTTTACATGGTAATGTATTTTAAAATGTCATGTCACCTATTACTGAAATCTTGTCTACATGTCAACTTAAGGAATGGCCAGGGAAGAATAAGTTTCCTGAATAAGAAGGGCATATATGTAACTGTAAAGCTAACAAAGCCTTCCCGATTACAACAGTAGTAGGCACCACTGAAAGTATTACTTAAATATGTAATATATGTCTCTCATTAATACAGAATCATAAAGGTTAAAAAAAGGTTAAGCAAGCAAATAGTTACTATCAGGTGACTACATTTATTAACTAACATTAACTCATTAAGTGCCTGAATGAATTGTTCACAATAGGCAAATATCTGCAAAGCACCATAAAATTATGAATGATATGTTGTATTTACTTTTCATAGTGTGCTGATCTGCAATACAGAAAACACTTTTACCTTTTGGACATACATTAGTTAATAAGTGAAAGAATACTTAAAACCATGTTTCCTTCATGCCCAAAACATTTCTAGGAAATTTATTTTCTACTGTTTTTCTCAGCAAGAGCAATAGTAAACCACCACCATCCTTTCAAATTCAGTATTATAAAATGATGTGTGTAAAACCTAAAAATTGTCTAAAGCATCAGGGCTGGCTGCTCTTGACTTTCTGACCGAATGGATAAAGAGGATTCAGTGCGATAGCAAGGCAGAAAACCAGTAAAGCGAAGGAAAGCAACAACAGCAAACCCCCAGTTTGACTAAAATCAGAGTGCTGCCATTAAAACAAAAAACCTCTTTCCATGGTCCCCAAGATCATTCATTTGCATGAAGAGCAGATTTTGGTTCAAAGCACTTTTATATTCAGCAATGACATTTAAAGGGCAAATTGTAGGACACTACACTTAAAAATAAATTCTGTGCAGAACTAATTGTCATAATTTTCTTCTGTTGCAATTATTTAAGGGGTTCAGATAATGAAGAAAATAATTGTATTGCATGCAGACACCAGTCATGTCCAATTTTGGAACCCCTATCTTGCCACTTGTGCCCAACTGAAGCATGTACATATTTTCTGAGCTGTTTTAACTTCCTCATATACAAAAGTTCTGACAAAACTGTACCTGTGAATTCACTCACACTGAAGTACCAGCCTCTGCTATCCTAAACCTGCTTATTTTCTGGGAGTGCTTACACCTGTTGTCATATTTCATAATGAAGAATTAGCAAGCCTTCATCAGACATATGGGCACGCATGCCAAAACAAGAAAACGAGAGTACCAGAACATTAATGGTAAAAATGGCACATTAGATGTTGCACTGGCATCCAAAAGTGCTTGTTTGGGTAGATATGTAAAATTCATCTTGTCAGTGCAGTCAAGTTCAACATCAACAAATGCTGAAAGAATCAACCCTAACTCTACTCACCCACCCAGAAATGTGCAATTCTATTTGTTACTTTATGTAAATGTCCCTTCAAGAACAGAAAGTAGGAAAACATCTTTCCTGATTCCGTATCTAATAAGGATAATCAAACAAAGAAACTAGTGTGCCCCTACTTATAAACAACAGAGGAAACCATAATGCCATTTCAAAGAGGCATATGACAACCACAACCCATGTAAGGGGAGGTCTGCTTGGGTAATCAAAGTAAGGATTTAGAAGTCAGATTATTTTCTTTTAAAGATAATACGGCCATCACTGAAACAACGAACATCCCTACTCACCTAAACAGACTCATCCTAGTTCCCCCTTTCTAACTGTGTAGGTTAATTAGCGCTAACCTACGTATATGGAAAAGGTACGTTGTCCCCCTGGAGTTTTAGGCAAGGAGCCAAAGGCCAGACACAGAACTATCACAGCAAGGAAACAACTCTGACCTGACTTCAGGTCTGGTTCTTTAGAGAGTAAGCCAGAAGTATTGTGACTATTTTTGCATGGTAGCATCCCCAAAGCTGAGGACTATCATTGCACTGCTGGTACTAAGAATATTCACCCCACTAGCGCCAGATATTTGATCAAAAATTTAAGGTTCAAAATATTATGACAAAATTTTTCTCATTCATTTGTAGGTTATTAATCAACAAGCTACATTATTTTTCTCCAGTAGTATTTTGTGTCAGTTTTAAAGCTAAAAAAACCCATGTGGATAAACAGTTTGTGTTTACTTAAAAAAAATAAGAAAATACAGAAGATAAGCAATTAAAATGTAGCCCTTTAACAGTAGTACTCTAGCAGGGACCGTCGTCACAATAAATGGTCTGGAATAGATATAATCACTGCATTATTCCCTTGAAACACGTCCATAATTCAGTCAGTCAGAAGGATTTCTTTCTTTCATTATGTTACCCAGAAATACGATGTGAATTTTGCATTTAAAATTCTAATTTAAAGAAAAAGCTTTTCCTCAAATTCATATACGTCTTTGGACAAAGGGCCATCAATTATCAAGCGTACAGAAATTGGTTACGATAGTAATTTCATGTTTGACTACCTGTGTGCTAGAGCTGAAGGTAATTTTGCTATTTTATACTGAAAGCATCATCAACTACCATATGCCTGAAAATTCAAAGCAACTTTAAGTATTAAAAATCATTTTTTGTAAAACAGTTCTATTCTAGAACAAGTATTTCTGGTATTTAAGGTTAAAAACACACTTTTCGTTGAAATCCTGGTGCTTGCACATTTGTCTTCTGTGTCCTATGGCTGCCTTTCCTTCTCTAGCTGCAAAGCCCACTTGGCAGTGGTTTTTTATTGTTTTTAGGTTTTACTTTGAAGTAAAAGAAACCTAGATTAGAGCTATCAAGCCCGGGAAAAGGTGAACCTTCGGTATTTTTTTTTTTAATCCATTCAGAAGGGCTATGTGTAATTATACTCTTTATCAAAGAAACCTAACTACAATTTGGCATCAGTAATGTTTACAGTTCCATAATGTACTGTAATAGTTTGAGATACTTTAAGAAAACCCTCCAAATACTGAGATGCTTATTGCAATTCCCTTTTAAAGATTCAAAAGCCTTCTAATCACTTTGCATTTCCTATTTTTATCTTCTTTATAACATACGGTATTACATATTTGAAATACGCTTTCCACACAAAATCAAACTTGAAAATACCCACTTAGAAACAATATTTCAGTAAATAGAGGGTTTAAGGCAAGTCATTCATTTGGAAAAACTAATTTCCATTTGTTAATCCTAGATTGACACAATTTTATTCCACCCCATCAGTGCCTTGGGATACACAACGTACATTCAGCAGAGGGCACACATATGACCCTATGGACATACGTTGCAAGTCCTGAGTGCCCATTGAAATAATGGTAATATCTTCATATAAGGCGTGACCCACAGGGACATGGCATGGGAGGGGTTAATTTGTTTTGTTTCCAGTCTTGCTATTGTATGTGATTTTCCTAGGTAATGCATTCTTTTCTTACTAAACATCTTTGCAAACAAATACAAACCCCTTTAAAAGGTGCTAAAAATGGGTTTCTGAAAACATACAAAATATATTCATCATAGTATTTCCTCAATCACTGTTTTAATGCTTGATATCTGCAGGTTATTTCTTGTTTCTGACCGAAACTATTATTTGTTGTGGAATAACTGTTCTTTTGCAAAAGATTTTCTTCTTCTAGCTTTTTGGACCACACGGGCTGGATGCTTTCATACTTTTTACTTCCTTTTTGAGTTCTTTTCAATGGAAATACCAACAACACCAGGATGCTGGCAATATGAAGACAGAAATAGCAGGAGCTAAAAAACAAACAAAAATAATAATCCAATAAAACTCTGACCGCTCTTACAGGATGCTTAAGGAATAAACTGTCAAAACCTACTTGCATACAGTACTTTGCACGTAAGACATTTAAGTCAGGAAGACATTAATATTTCCTTTTTAAGAAAAGTAGTAAGGGGAAAATCAGAAATGAAGTCTTCCCCCACAGTACTTAGTGCTGTAACAGAGATGTAAAGTGAAGTCTGCTCTTTTTCACAAAAGTTACTTTTGGGAAGTCGTTATCTAGTCTTGCTATAAAATAGTTGAAGTGCATATAGTAATCTCAAAGGTACCCCCTGGTTTTGGTTGTTTTTTCCCCCTGCCCCAGGAAAAATAAGTCTATCATGATACGAAAACGAGATCACTTTATGGTCTCTCATACGCAACACAAACTATGTTCGGGCACTAGAACAGAAATACAGTTCAATTAGTTTGCTCAGCTAACATATAAGTCTTATCACTAAAATAGCTTCAGAAATCTTATGCCACAGAAACTACTTCTATTCCAAGTGAAAGAAAAGAAGAAGGAAACAGGTAGAATATGCTTACCTGTAAAAGGTGAAAGAGGGTTTTACAGAGAGCAGTACAAATGGCACGACTGTGTAACTTATTGCTACTTGAGTTGTCATCCATGTTATAATATCATAACATAGTTTAACAGCAGGAGAGTCAACAAAATAGTGTCTGATATTGTTTCTTATCTGAAAAAGCAGATAATAGTAAGTTAGCTTAGGAATAAACTTTGAGAGCTATCTTACTGTGCAGTTTGTTGCACTTCCACAAAATTCATAGGATGAAGTTAAATGCTACAGTTTGGTCAACTATTCAAAACGCCCATTGACTTCAATAGGAGTCAGTTCAAATTCCCTGCCTTTTAGGCTAGTGCGCTTCATCCAGCACAGGAATTTAAGTATTTATGAACTTAAGCAGAATTTAAGTAAATGGACTTGGATGAAGTTTCCCAGAATTTCTTGTAGAGAAATCTAGTATTTTAGGACTTGAAGGACAACTTTTAAGATAAATCTATAATTGCTCCTAGTAAACACCTGATTATGAAACGTGTAATGATTAAAGGGAGTAAAGCTAGTTGAATACATACTTAAGCATGACAGGAGAAGAAAGCGTGGGTCAGAGCTGCCAAGCTTTGCAGTCTTAATAAAGGCTAGTAGAGTTAAATAATAAACATGCTAAAGTACCTCTAACATATCTTATCAGTTAATATTAAGTAACTGTTCATACAGAAACTAACAATATTTTTATTTAATAGACTACTGGTTGATACATATGACGTGAATACAATGCAGCTTACTAGCAAAGCCCAGGATGAAGTGCAGTGAGCACTCTGATTTACTGGACGCACCTGACTGCGACCACACAAACAACTTTTACCTGTGAACTGCCCCTGAACCTTGGCTTTTGCACCAGCCCCTGGCTGATAAACGTTAAAAGCTCACTGCAATAGAGCCTAGAAAGAAGGGAGCTATACCAATTGCAAAGGAAGGAGTCAATTCTGTCAAACAGGGACTATACCCACACCTTGGTGAAGAAAGAGGAGGAGCATGCGTTTTATTACTGTTAGTAACCATCTAAATCTGAAGAACCACCTTCCCCTAGCTATTATAGCAACAAAGAGCAGTCTGCTTCATTTCTCATTCTCCTGGTTCTTTTGACAGAAAAGTGGTCTGTTATTCTGCTCTGAGCTGACAGCTAGGTTTTTTTGTTCCTCTTTCCCCTTGAGTAACTGATAAACCTGCCTCTGATCTTACTCAGCTTTACTCAAGCAGGACTGAGAGATTTCTTGGCAGATTTGCTGGTTCCGTATGGTTCTGAATAGCAGCTGTAAAAGCTTGTTAATGTGACTGCGCTGCTGGCTGGCCAATTTTGAGTAGTAATAGAGATGTTTATCTGCTGGTTGAGGGGGAGCATTCTTTAGTCACCATCCTTACAATAGTACTGGACAGAAATTAGAGAGGGGGACAGACTCCATAAATATATAGCACTGACCCCCCAAATTTTAAGCTACCGATAATCTGTGATAAAGTTTTTTCAGAATGATCTTAGATAACATCCTCGTGTTTAGCATGGCATAATAACACATGACCAGTTAATACAGAGGAAGGGCTTCCACAAAAGATATGCTACAAAGATGTTATAGGCTGTGTACAGTCTTGCTTGTTTCTACTGACCAACCCCTCCTTATCAATAATCATTCCCATTGCTTTCATAACTAAAAAAAGTAAACAGAACTATCAGACAGACTGTTTGTCAACTCTAAATCACATCTTTGGACTACAGAACATGATCAATTTTCTTTTACAGAACTACTTATTATTTAAGAAGATACTTGGTTGGTACTTACAGCTCGTGCTGCTAGTGTCATTAGTACTCCTGTTAAAAATGTTAAGTAATATCCTGGGTAAACCCCATGCCAAATGGCAGAGAGGATGAAGGTTTGGATCGTTGGGCTGAAGGTGGCTCGCTCATAGCACACTCTAGGAAGTCAAAGACAATTCAAGATAAATAACATGAGGCACAGATCACCAACAATCTTCCCAGTTATCACTTACACATTTATACTTTCAGCAGTTTCATCTCCTACACATCATTTGCAAGGCAACTGCAGTTTACTATTATTTAATAATGCTGCCACTATGTTATGACTTACAGAAAATACTTGAAGCTATTCACAGCTCCTGATTTAACCCCTCAGTGCTAACCTATGCTCAGTGCTATCGCATATGGTACTTGTTTACAGCGAAGTGACACAGAAGCGTCCAAAGACGGGTGTTGGTGTTAATAAGGGATCTTAAGCCATCCAAGAATGTGTCTGAAAAGCTACACTGGAAGGCACTGACTATCCCACAAACTCTTGCGTGAGCATGATGATGAAATTATAATTAATGACTCTAGGGATGTGAGAATATCATAAGGAGAATGGCTGAACCCTGCTATTTAAAAATTGAGACTCCAAATTATTAGGCAAGGTCCTACAGTAAGGAATTCTAGAAGGAAGAAGGGAAATAGGAATCCAAGAAAAGTAGTTTCTAGAAGACAACATTAAATGACACAATGACAAACCATCATGATGTGGAAGAATGATAGGAAACATGGTAAGGTCCTGATATGGCTTCATCAAGAGTTCTTTAATGTCTTTAGTGATCTGAAAACCAAAAAGCAATAGGAAATATGGAAAGAGATGCACACTAACATAAAGCAAAAATAAACAGCACAAGCATGCACGAACACAAGTCTAAGGCTAACATACAAAAATGAGTTTTAACTAAAAAAGGCCATAGACACCAATATGTAAAAAGGTTTTATAAACACATAGCAAGCAACAGAGAGAAGAGAATGCACGTCTATTATTCAAGGAGGAAGACAAGCTAATGATACAGAGGGCCGAAACATTCACTACTAACTACTTGACTACAACTTCCATATATACAAAAGCTTGCTGAGGCCAAATGATACAGTCAGTGTTAAAGAGCAGAAGGTAAAAAGGCAGGACCTGAATAGGGAAAGGTCAAAAATGTATTTTGCTAATTTAGTTTATTCCAGTCAAATAGATGGGGTAAGTTTTATCTTAGGAGGTCTTCAGTGCAGGGTACCAGCAGAGCCCCCTCCCCTTACCAAAAGGCTTCGCTAACAATGCCCGTTAAGATGACAACATGGGCCTGAGTAGGGCGCGGGTGTGTGCATGCGTAACACGCAAAACTATCCAAGGACATTTGCCCACAATAGATCACCTTAAAGAGGAAAGCAACATTGGCCAGACTAAACAGTAACCAGGGAATTTCAAAGAGACTTTTGAAACAAAGAAGGTGTCAGCCTAGAAAGTAGAAAAGCACTAGGAAAATTTGTAACAAGTGTGGGAGATGCCTCGGAGCAAAATACTAGTCATCAAAACCTGGTTTGACACTGCCAGAAGTTGCCCCACCAGCATCACGACCTCTGTCTCGGCCAAGACAGAGCATCCTCCCCGGTAGACACCGAGTAGCCTGCATCCAGCTAGGGGACTGTCAGTGCAGTATGCAGGGAGCAAAATACCACCCCTATCAGCTGCATGCACGTGAACTCGTGGCATGCTTTTCCAACTGGCATGTGAATCAGTGGGTTCACAGAGAGCTGGAGCATCCACGTCTCCCACAGGCAGTGCATACAAGCAGGGGGCCCACGCTGCCAGAAGGAGGTGTGCTTTTGTAACCCACACGTCCTTGGGAGTAGAGGCGCGGTTTGCATGTAACCATGCGTGTGCACCTACACTGTTAAACTCTTTGGGATTAGTTACAGAAGAGTGTTTACAAATTTGTTTATTAAGCCACATCACTAAGCACTTATAAAACATTATCCGTTCCAGTATTGATATTAATTCTAAATGTATATTTCACTGACTGGTGGTTAATTATGTCTTGTTAATAAATTGATAAATAGCCTCAGTCTTTATTTGGTTTAAACTACTTTAAGGAGATTTTCCCCTGCAAAGCATTCAGGAGCTAACAAAACTACCTAACTTAACTAATCAAATTTCAGCTATATCAATGCAAGTCAGATAAGATATATACTAGAAAAAGAAAAAAAAAAAAATCAGGCTTCAATTTCAAGCAGTTAAAAGTAAGCTTAAAAACTTCTCCATGGATTTGTCAATAATAAATTGTGTTGAAATGCTTCACTTGACATTCCTAAAAGCAAACCAAGGAACTACGGTCATCACAACAGGCTGAGAAAGTCTGTTCAAATATGGGTGGTTCAGGTTATCTGATTTGCTCTGTAAGTGGGAAGACGCATCAGCTGTTCAGCAAGGTACTCCCCTTGGTCTGGTTCTATACTTTCATTACTGGCTTGGGTGGTAGACTGAGAAGTATATTCTTCCACCCTGCCTTCCCTTCCTTTTTTTTTGGGGGGGTGTGTGTGGAAGGGGTGAGGGGGAATGAAGGAGACTGGCATTGAACAGACAGAGCACTAGAACCCAAAATTATCTTGACAGACTTAAATGATGTTCTGAAATCAACAAGATAGAGTCCAAAGTCTAGAACATCTAAGAAGAAAAGTGGGAGATACAAAACAGTACCCGTCCATTTAACATTACTGAAGAAGTGTAGCTGAGCATGAATATGAATCAACAGTATGAAACACTGAGTATCAGCTGAGCATGAATCAACGCTAGATTGCTGCTGCAAAAAGAGACAGATGTAATACTATGATGTATTAGCAAGAGTTATCTAAAGAAAAGAAAGGTAATTAATCCACTCAAAAGCGTTCAACTGTGCCTGTAACAAGCCAGGGAAAGACCCTGGCAGTCTTAGCAGAGGTACTACGTCCTCTGCAAGATGACAGGAAGATTGGAAAGAAGCCAGAAGAGAGCAACAAGAACCACAGAGGTTTTGCAAACATGACCAAAGACAAAAGGAATTAGATGTTTTCTTTGGAAAAAACAATGAACAGGCTGAGGGGGAACATAACAGCTTCCCCAGTCAGGAAACATTATCATGATATATACTGTTGATATATGCTACTATGTAAATATCTATTTTAACTTGCATGCTTGTAACAATAATACCTTAGAATTGCTGTATTTGGTGATCTATCTTAAATGTTGATTAAACTTCTTTATGTTCTGTAGACAGTTAGCTGTGTTTTTACAAAGGGTTTGTTTTTACACACAGAGTTTAAGTTCAGTTCCTCTTTCAAGAGTATCAGAAAAGAACAGAATGAATGCTGACATCTGATATTTCTGCATTTCACCTGAGACAAATGCCTAGGTTTTTTAGATAGTTCCATAAATGGTAAACAGGTGAGGTATTAAAAGTGGATGTTTAAAGTAATACATGAGTTTGTCCTCTATTCAAAACATTGCAACTAACCAAATTATTGGTAATATAATACATACTCTGGACCAATATTTTTGCCTCATAGATAATCATTAAAACAGTCTCTTGCTTGCAACAAATCTTTAAGAAAACATCCACCCTTCTCCCTTTCACTGTGGCAGAATCAATATGTATTTAGACTACCCTCAAAGATTCTTCTACAATTATTCTTAAAAATTTAAGAGCAATTAATTGTTCTTAAGTTGAACTTAATTGTTCTTAAAAATATTTATTAAAGGAGCTGCTTTAATTTTTCTTCGCCTCTTCTTTTAATGTCACCCTGAACAATTGATTTGCATTTTTTTCTTTCAGTTCTTAACAGAAATGTTATTCATCTCCACTAAAAGCAGTTTTAGTTTAACATCATTCAATTTAGGAGCTTTGAAAGTTTGTTGGAACACAACCTTTTCCTATTAATTTTTAATACTGATAAACTTCTGTTCTCTAATTAAATTAAAATACATTTCAAAATAGCTTATTTGCTTTATTAAATGATACATATCAATACCTGCAAGCATGCAATTCTTGCTTACTGACTGTCCTAGCAATAGATTCTATTGCCTATTGAGCCAACTAGAATAATCACATAAATTTCAATTTCTGTTTTTAATTGGCTCAGAAAAATATTTAGGGAAGAAATTACAGAAGAAAGAGAATACACTATAAAGAAATTTGATGGAAGCAACATCCTATTGCCAACTGTCCTACAGTAAGAGATAAAGTCCTCTGAGTGATCCCAAGATGGGTGTCTCAGTTAAACTCACACCTATTCATAAAACGTCATCTATACAGATACTAGGAGAAGGGAAACAACATCCGTGTACTACTCAAGAACACTTTTTTACTTTCTAGTTACCACAAAGTAGTAGTAAAAGCAGAGTGATTTAGTTCACTGGGCACTATACCCATTTCCCAGACAAGGAAAAAAGCACATCTGAGGGATACTCATTTGCAATTTTTTTTTATAGCACATTGTAGAGTTTGATATTTGCCACACACTCATTATGGAAGGAGTGCCAAAAATTCTCTCACAGAACGTATGGAAGTTCCTGTATCACTGTGTGGCTAATTAAAAAAAAAAAAAAGCAGAGTTTCCACCAGCTAGCAGCCAAAGATGTGCATTTTGCCTACTGCTCTCAGCAACATGCACTGCTTTGAATGCCAAGAGGGGAAAAAAAGAGACACCTCCACAGATCAGTACTTTTAGGTTCCCTATGACCAGTGAAGAAAAACAGTTTCTATCATTACCTGACAGTTTACACTAAAAGAGAAGTGCTAAATTCAGAGGCTTTAATTCAAGTATTACAAGAAGAATGTCCCATGCAGTTGCTAAACAACCATACTCCTTTGTGAGGTTTAGCTTTAAATGTTAAGTTATCTTCAAAGACATGTTTATCTAAGAGACTTGATTGAAGAAAAGCTTTCCTTTAAGAAATAAATACCTTTTAAGCCAAAGAGCTGTTTGGATATTCCAGTTATCAAGAAACATCTTGAAACTTGTGGAAAACTGTAAAGTAAAAACAGATTAATTATTTCCGTAATTGTAAAATGTTACAAAATACTTCAGAATTCTGACATATAAATTATAAAAAAACCCTACTTTGTGACGAGTTGAATAAGGTATTTACTCAACTACTTATAACCACAAAATATTTTGGAAGTCAACTGACAAGTAGAACATATTCAAAACAGACTCTATTTTCCATCCTTTCCTAAGGGTGTGAACATGTCATTTCTGACTTAGAACATATTCACTATCTTGAGGAACAAAATGCGTAGGAAAAGTTACTGAAATTACAAGCAGCTACCTACATGGGCATGCATTTTATTTGAAAGAGCCATGAACAAACCTCTATTTGTTGGATTCTCAGATTTGATATTAGATCCCAACGTGTAACTCCATTTTTATCATAGCCTCTAAAACCAAAACCTGCTGCATTATTAATTGCATCTGCTGCAATGAAACAAAAAGAGAAACAAGTGAATTATAAACTACCTGTATTACACATTGTGCATCACACAACATAGTTTGTTCAAAGTATTTATCACATTTTAAAGGCTACATATTTATTTTTTTAAAATACTGAGAATCACTGTATTAGACACTTGAACAAACAGAAAATAATCCAAGCAACACACTGGCTTTCAATTAAAAAACTTGTACAAAAGCAAAAGAACGAAAGGTAGCACTATCGACTTCACAGTACAGATGTCCCACCTCTCTCATACCGCCTACTTAGACTTGCTTGAGCAATTTGACAGAAAAACAAAGTCAGTGAGATGCATCAAGACTACGAAACAGTGGCTGGTTGTAATGATTTGAGATAGCAGCTCAACGCTCAGATGCATGTATGGTCTTCATTATGCAGTAACAGTGATGTTTAAAGCATACAGATAAAATTGCACGATTCACTTCAAGCAGGTGCACGTTTACAGCACCACACAGAGCAGTGCAAACCTCAGAAGAAAACAGTAATTTACTAAGCAATGCAGAGTTTGTCAGATTTCCACTAAGGGCACAAGGCCACTCTTAACAAGGCTTCTGAATGCGAAGTGTTTACAATGCATGTCAAAGGTCCAGTAGTTCAAAGCAAACAATATTTTTCCCTAGGAGAAAAAGCTGCTACTGTCATCTGGACTATGTAGGAAAATACAAGGGATCTAAGTCTGAATACCGCCTGTTACCTTCAGTCATCACCTTTGCCTCAGGTTTGTTAGGTCAGACACTAAAATTTCCTCAGTTGTGCTTCTCAAATTAGGATGGCCACTTACAAGGAAACGAGTTTTTTTTCCCCAAGTATTGCCTCTGCTGAGCCAGGCGCTTGGTTGCATACACCCAAACATGGACACACGTCCATGAGGCACGAAGCCAGCCATGTATCCACTTCCGTGGATAAATAAGTGACCACGGGGAGAAAAACGCCAGCTCCTCTCCCAGTTCAGAGGAGACTTGAAGAACTGGAAGCAAGGTAGACGAAAGGGTCTGCAGAAGCAATGCAGATCTAGTCCTCTAGTTACAGGACATGAGCCCTCTCTGTTAGTTCAGAATTCATCTAAAGCACTGTAATTAAATTGTCACCTTTTAAATTACAACTAGCAAGGCAAGAGAAATTGCTCAGTTTGTATTACCATATTAAAAAGAATTTACTTTATACAATAGTGACCTGTAAGAGAAATTCATATCTTTTGCATTTTCCTGTTTTAACAACTTTTTCAAGGTATTTTCTAGTGTACTTGGAAAGTAAAAGAAACAATTGACTCAAACAGTTCCTTTCCTGAAGTTCAGTTTCTCCAGTTATCTACCAGTCTGGAAGAGGGCTTTGTGATGTTTGATTTAATATAGGGTAATTTATAATATTTAATAATATTTTTATTTCCTCACCAATAACAATTTTAAAACACATCTTTGAAAGCAACAAAATTTGCTGCTATACATCTGACATCACTGATGTCGACTTCAAACATTAGACAATGATTTTATGCTCAATTAGAAACAGCTGAAGACATGAACTCCATAATCTCTTGCTAGCTAGAGTACAAAGACTACAGCTAGAGCAAGTACTCATTTTATTAACTAGCATTTTAGTAGGTATTCATTTTATTAACAGATTTTTTTTTTTTTCCTTAAGTGCAAAGAATAGCAATGTACGTAAAACTGTTAAGGCCCCCTCACGTTCTAGTCATACCATTAGAAGTTTAGAGGAGGTAAAATGGAAGAAAGAAGGTTAAAAAAAAAAGTTATTTAGCAAACTAAAAGTACAGAGTTGATATAGCTTATTTTCTTTAGTATTTCACCAAAGGAATGCTAGCTCTACACTGCTAGCAAGCGCATAAGGAGAAATCCATCTGAAGTATTACAGCGGAAAAATCCCAGAGATTGCTCATTTTTCAGATGACTCCTACTCTTTACAGCCGACGATACTGGTGCATAAGAGCACAATATTCAAAATTATTTCATTCCACAACAAGCCCCAGAATTACTATATCCAGACAAGCTGAAAGCACTTTATTCATTGATCAGGAATGAAACCAGCAGCTGTAAATGAGTCATGCTGCTCTGCTACACTAAGGCTTTCTTTATTGCATTGTTTCCCACAGATTGTCTCTCAAAAGAATTATGAAACAAATATGTAAAACTGGAGAGGAGGAGGAAGCTGATGAAATCTGTTTTGTGAGCCACTTCCAAGACGTCAGCTTACATACATACAGGATTTTGCTGTTGTATGTGTTGTTGTTTTCAAATATGTGAAGTGAAAAGCAAAACTTTCTTTAAACTATATAATCTATTCAGTGTCTTAAATCAGTGACTATGGGTGTTATCCCGTAGGTTAATTAGATCTTTTAGTAAACAAAGACTAAAATGGAAGTGTCACCCATCAAATTCTGAAAATACTACTGTGAATGCCATCTACTATTAACCACACTATGATATATCTGAATTTCAATATATTAATTTTTCCTTCATGCTTGAACAACAGCGAATTACTGATAACTAACCACAGAAAGAGGCTTAGAAGAACTTTTCAGATATACCAAAATCAAGGTATCAAAAAGAAAAAAAATCAGGGATCGTATATCAGACTAGATTTACTACAATTTTTAAAACCAAAAAAGTCATTGCTCATTAAAACACTATCACTCTCCAAAAAACCTTATGTTTGACTCAGATTTGTTCAGGAAACCATGATCTCGTTTGCAACACTGTCACAACACTGTGCTTAGTTTTACGGTAAGTTTTGTTTCTCAAAGAGACACCATTCAATACACTTTGACAATACCTCATAATACTTAAGTGTAATAATGTTTTCCTAAGGCCTCAAGAGGGCACTGTCACTTTTTAATATATGCTAAGTGTGCAGCATCTCAAATGAAACTCAATACATACACTTTTTTTTTTTTTTTAAATATATGTACTTACCTAAAGTCCATGCAAAATAATACTTGGGTCGGGCAGCCATAAGAGACACATATAGGTAGAAAAACCTTACAGGCCATGATGCTGTAGCTGTGAAGTTATCATCAATGTTGTATTCCACAGGCAAAGTTTTTGTAATAGTCACGTGGAAGAGTAAGGACAGTCCACAGATTAAGAGTTTCTGTGCCACGGCTATCTGAAAAGTTTAAGATGGGAGACTTTGTAAGCTTCATTTTTTGTTAGTCTTCTGAAAACAAATGCAAGTTATAATCTTCCTTCCCTAAACAGATGTGTATATATGTCAAGTTTTCAGTAATATATACTACCAACTTTAAAACAGCTGGTAACATTTTATAGAGGCTGAAGGAACATCGTTATCTCGATTAAGTTGTGAGCACCACTTCTGGCAAACACAGCAAATCCAGTCTGACTACAGGGAGCCTCTAAAAACCCTTTCAATAATGGGAACATCTTTTGCAACTCCAGTTTTTTCTTCTTTCCTTGTCAAATTACTGAAGCAATTAAGTTTTTAAGACATCATAACACAAAGCATGTAATCTAGGACAAGATGAGTACAATTATTGCAGAGATTCCAAAACCAATGGCAAAGCTTCAGTTCATTTTCGGTAATCTTTGGCATAATGCAGGTATTCAGTTGCTGCCCAACTCAATACATCAATCATCTGTTAGATTATTACAATATCTACATTCTAAACCAACTAAAATACTGTAATAATTTATGAGCTTTCAGCCCAAATACCTCAGTTCTATATAGACCTGTTTTCCCAACTAGAGTGATCAAGCTACAAGGGGCAAATGATATACTCACAGACATGTAAAAACACGTTGTTCAGGTAGGACCTAGACTCAGATTTTCTCAAAATTCAGTTTTGCTATAACCACCACACTGAAGAGTATGTATTTTTAGGAAAATATTTCTAAGGTTCTATTATAAAACACACAGAGCAATAATGCATGACATTGACTGCTTTAAGTAGCTAAGCTAGTCTGATCCACATCCCAAGGGCAGATACCACGTTCTGTGCAAGTTCCTAAAGTAACACACTAACCAAACACCTACAAAAGAGAAGTTTGAGAGCTAGTTCATGTAAATGTAATTTTCAAGTTTTGATTGTAAGTAATCTCGATATTTAAATTTAAACATTACAATTTTAATTTACATTACCATTCTACAAACAGTAAACTTGGCAAGTAAACAGTCAATCTAGCTATTTTTCTTTGAAGCATCAGAACAAAAAGATAACCAGAATCCTTTTTCTGTCTATCCTGCTTCCAGTATACCTGCCTGAACTTTTAAAGACAACGTCCTGCTTCAATTAGAGTGCAGTTTCAAATGTCTAGTTCCAAAATAAAGAGTAATTCTGTTCCATGATACAGAATGGACCATTAAGTGCCCAACTGAAAACACAGATTTCTGCAAGACACACAGTATCAAAGATTCACCCAGTCACACAGATGTAAGAGGTGTGTAACCTGATAAAAAAATAGACTTGGAAAAGCTGTAAAACCATGAGGGTAACTTTGGATATTGCATATATTTCATGTGGCTCACCTCAGAAGATATTTCAGAGAGGATCAGAAAACACAGCTAATTAAACAAACCAGCTGGATAATTCACGAGGCAACTACCTATTAACAGCTAAGGCTGGTGTTTAATTATTTGTTCCTATTTGCTTTCTAATAAACTTCATTTTAATATTTTACTCTATTACAAGAGTTCAAAGTAAAGGGCATTAACTTTCCAAAAGTTTTCCTTTGTTTTTCTAGCAACTATTAATCCATCTCTCTTTGCCACAGCAGAAGGAAAGTTCAGTTGCCTTAACTTCTTCCTGAATTCAAATAGAAATGAATGTTCATAAAATCAGTTATTAACACTAATGAATCTGTAATTTTGGAATGCAATATCTGATACATGCAAAAGTTAGATATTTGTAAATACCAAAAGGCATCACCCCAAAGCTCTGAAGACGGTTGCAAGGATTTAACTTCAGAGTCTAAGCCAAAATTAAGAGTCATGTTCAATTTAGCATGAGAAACAGTATCTATAGGCTGGTAACATTAACATGCAACTTAAAATATAAGCATAAATATGTAAAATAGGTGTTTTCCATTTGAAGATCTCTACAAAGTCTCAAAATATGTTTTGGCAATTTATAAGTAATGTTCTCTCTGTTTAAAGGCCTGCTTTTTGCCACTGCCACCATTAACCAGTTTTTCTATTGGTAAATACAAATCATTAATCTGCCTATTCAACCCAAAATATGCTTAGCACCTCTTTGAAGGTTTTTAACTAAATTGTGGAGGTGAAAGCCCTTCTTTTAAGGAAAAGCAGAGTTTCAACAAAATTTATGTTAAGAAAAATTAATGAACTCATACAGAGCTCTGCCATAAATTGTACCTTTAAGAAGTAAAGTCTGCAGTTTTCAATTTGTAGTTGTAGAAAAAATACTGTAGGATGAAGGTGTTTTAATTTATTTAGTAAGTACTTAAATGATATATTTCTACAACTTTTTTTTAGCAGCAACATTTAGGTGTAGGGACAAGCATAACTATATCCAGAAACAGCATGACTTTTTTTTTTTTTTTTAAATTATACTACTTCACTCAATAATTACAAATCCCAGAACCCCAGTCAAGCATGCTGATACCACTTACAGGGATCAGTATCAGGAATATTAGTGTCGTAAGCAAACAGTGATGAAGTAATCTCCTGCCCCTACAAAGACTGGGAGCTGCAGTTTCAGGACTGGTCCCAGAACCCACAGCCAGGACCCTACCATATTCAGCAAGAGTTTATACTTCGATTGGCCTAAATAGATTATTAAACTACAGCCTGAGGCTTGTTTATAGCACTCAAGTTTTGAACACATTTACACAGAAATAAGTCCTCACGTGACACCAAAATAATCCATAGTTCAATTACCTATAGAAATGCATTTGGTAAAACATGAATTCACTTCCTATTGCTTAATTAACTAGGTTATTGATATAAGCTTCTTTGCCAAGGCATAAATGGGTAATGACCGGACTGCACATTCACAGGGGGGTTGGTCAGTTTTTACAAGGATGAAGTAAGTAATTTACAAGTTTGAAGTTTAATTTCATTCACTCTTTAACTTTTCAACATATCCAAATAACTGTTCTGTTAAGGAATTAAAAGACCATAAGCTGCAGGATAACTTTGACCTCATATGAAGTAGGCTATACAATTATTTTACAACAAAAAGGTAGAAAAGCCTGGCTCAATTAGTTTTGATGAACAAAAACTGGGCATACCTGTATGAAAATATCAAATATAGTCAACACTGGGAAGGGAAAAAGGTACTAAAGCTAAGAGACAGTGCCAGGACAAAACCAAACGTGCATAAATTAGATGGGAATATAATTAGGTTGAAAGCTACCTAATCAGAGAAAGGAGTTCAGGAACAGCTTTCTAATTGAAGCAACAAAGGTAAAACACTGAGCTCAGGAATTTTATAAATATATTACTGTATAAACATGGATAATATATAAAAATATATACAAAAGAGTAGAAAAGTATCTTTGAAACTTTTATTTGGATGAACTTGTTCCTGGTTGATAAAGAATCAATAAGGAGCTCAATATAATATTGAACTATATTAAAGCATATTATTTTGGGGCGGCTAGCACCTCAGGTAAAAATTATAGGTAATTAAGCAAGAACTTTATAACCTGTAGGAAGAGTCTGCATAATAAGCAAAAAAGCAGGTATCTGCTGATAGGAAGCTTGTATTTTAAGTGTAGCCATAATAAAAAGAAACTTACAAAGACAGATATTAATTTCTGAGAGTTGACACCACTTTGAGCACCAACAATTGATAGCTTGCAAAAAGGCACAATAGGAGGGATATAAGAAATAAGTTTTAATATGTTGATTCATTTAACATGCAATGAACAGAGCAAAAATACTAAACCAAGTTAACATCATGCAGTCAACACACAGTATAGAGGAGGAGGCTGGCATGAAGTACTTTGGTTATGTAATTATATTTAACAAGAAATGAAACTTACTGTAACTCAGCTGAAGGATTTTTTTTTTTCCCCTCTTTACTACATTAACATTTGCTGATCCCCATCACATTTCATTTTTTTGAGTTACCTAACAATTTATTCTTCTTGAAATAACAACATGAGAATCAAGGAACAAATCTAAAGTATTAATATAAAGTTAATGGTATTTAAACATTCTTCTAGAATAAGACAATGAATATTTTAATTGATGCAGCATATGCAGTAAAATTATACCATCCATATTTCTCCAAAAGCACACAATACTCACTGGTGTTACAAAATTTAGCCAGATTTCTCTAACACCAGTTGGGAGATGGAGTATCAACAGTATAGACAGCTTCTCTTTATTTTTATGTCAAAAGCAGCATAAATCACAAAAAGTTTCAAGCATCTTAAGAGCAACTCATTTTAAGGAAAACCACTTACCTGAGAGAAGAATCCATCATAGGTTTATATTTATTTCTATTGACTTTGTTCAGATTACTAGCAAGATTATGTGGTAAAAAGCTAGGAAGTCCTACCAGGCAATCAGTAGATGCATGTCCAGAAGTACCGATGCTGGCAGATTTGGTTAGTTCCATTTATTTGCAATAATTTTACTACATAATATTTTTCTGCAGAAATAGGATTTTAGTACTAAGATGTGACGCCTTTACTATGCCCAAACAATGTTTAAAAACAAAAAGAAGTGTCTGCAACTTTGCCAATAGAACACATCAATGCAGACTACAGACTATGAGGTGCCAATCTATGCAAGGAATTTCTCCTGTCTCTTTTGCCCTTCCGAACTACTTGCTCCACAGCACACTTCTGTGAGCTTACATCCCTTGTCAACATGTGGAGCAGTTTAAAGTGTTACCATCCACCAGGCACTAGTTTACATTCCTGTGGTGCAAGTTACTACAACCACACAAGATGCGTAGAACAGAACATGCAAAGAGTCCTCATCCACGTTCAAAGGATGGAAGTGGTTGGAGATGACACAACTGATTGGGAAGTACTCCCTGTTAGCCCAGCTGTGGGGATGGTAGGACAAGACAAGCAGCTACACGTGGGAATGCCTTCATCGGCTCCAGCAACAGTTGGTCCACAAGATAAGCAGAAAACAGGTGATTAGCACTGGAATTAGCAAAAGCCATTCATCTGAAGTGTTCCAGTCAACTCCATGATAATTCTGCTTTTTATGTGTGGTAATAATTATCTTAGGCACACACAAATTTAGAAGTCTGATACACTCCTATTTAAGAGAATATGAAAAGAGTGAAAAGATAATATTCAGTACCCTGAGCATTAAACTTAAAAAATTAAGGATTAAATTTAAAAAGTAACAAGCTTCGGGAGCTTTTGATTTTAATTTAGGTCACACAATCTCTCTTGTAAGGTATGATCAGCTGGACTTTCTTCTGTATGTATTTGGTCTCTTTTCCAATAATGGAACAAAGAGGAAAAAGAAATATGCTGTATGGATTACTAGCCATAGAGTTATGGCTACTACATCTTTTACTACACCTTCAGATCAAAGTCCATCTTTAATACCTCTCTACATGAATGAAAGCAAGAAAAATGAAACTATTTCTATGAGCATTTTTCAACTTGTTACATGTGAATGTTTTCTACTTGCTGCAAGACGACATTTAAAAAAAAACAGAATTTGAGAACGTTCATGAAACCTTGCTGGAACTTTTAAGTCTCATCAGCTTTCAAATGACAAATGTGCACTTTGTCCTTACCAGGACTTTTTTTTTTTTTTATGCACAGTATATGCTTTGAAGGAAACATGCGTGAAGTGTTTTAATTTAAAGACGGCTTTTTACCATATAGGCTAGTTGGGAAGCTCCAATTTAATCTGCTTTTACCCACAAGATCCAGACTGGAAACCACGGAGAAAAACCTGCCTTAAAAAAATAAGTATTTAACTTTTTGAACAGGGGACTATACTGTCGATGAATGAACTCCAGATACAGCTCAGAAGTTATGCCTGTAAATGAACAGTGCAAACCAAGCTTTTCATGCAATGATTACGTAAGCATCAGCACTGCAAGAGTCATACATCTTACATTTGGAGAAGGATCCGTTTGTTCATATTTTGTATCTTCCTTCCCATTTGCTTCAGACTGTTGCAGTTGGTATGATCTGCCTTCAATGAAAGTAATATAGTCTTTGTAAGAGCATAACGGGCCCGCCAGGATACCCATGAAATTACAGTTGTAACTTAAATACTCCAGTAGACTTGGCATGCGTCTGTAATTCAAAGACAAGCAACTCGTGAGATGGAATGTGTAGTTCTACAGAATTTCCACAGTAGGAAAAGTCATATTCCATGTTATTGCTTACTCTAACTGCAGTAAAAACCACATGTAGAAAAGCAGTTTGTGTCTTTTGTAATCACAGCTTAAAACATTCTACACATAGTATTTCTTTCCAATCCATACTGAGCATTTTCAGACAAGATTTGCTGAACTCTGGTGACTCCCTCCTTGCCCAGTAGAGGTGTTTGACTGAAGCTGAGCCTGGGGAAGGAGAAGGAAGGGTGTTTCCCTAAGTGTTTGTTCAACTGTTTATGTTTTCTTTTTCTCCTCAATAACTGAACCAGTAAACAAAGGTTTGTGTTAACTGGCAATAATTTCAAATAAGGAAAACACCTCAAGTCAAGACTGTTTTGCCCAGGACAACGTACTATTTTCAAGTCTCCTGAATAAAGAAAGGCAAAAAGGCAAGTTAAATACTGAAAACCAAAATTAAACAAGCATGTTTCTTCACCAGCTACTTTATATGTATACCAAATGTTAACTAGTCTCCTGTCTGATATGGCATTAATTTGCATAGACTGCATAGAACTTAGAATGTTTTTCTTAAGTAAGTATAAAACCTACTTCTAGTGATATTTTCCAGGAGAACAGATGTATGAATTAAGCTACAAATATAAAATGCATGGGTCTGTTTTACATGAGTTTGTAAACTCTACCTTGGATGTGAACTGTAGCAATTCCACAGAGCATTAATAAAGCACACAAAACACTATCTTCTCCCCACCCCCAAAACTAGACTCTCAGAGATGTCTGAAAGCCTACCTTACAGCCAAGCACCTCTGTGATGGAGTCAAATCTTCATTTTTCCGAAACATTCCTAGGGAAGAGGACAGGAAAAAGGAAAAATAAAGAAAAGCTAAACCCCCACACATTAATCAGCAGTTTTTTTACTCAGTAGAGCAAGCCTCATGCTGCAATGTAATTTCTGAAGTCCTCAAGTAATTTCAGAGGCATTATGTCACAAAACATTTTTGCTGGAGTTGGATCAAACAATTCTTACTGTTGACAAAATTACAGACTCTCATATCCTCAGTTATATCCAACAGTGCCTAAACCTGAAATCACATGGATTTCAGGAAAGCATTAAGAAGGCTTGTAATAAGTGTTGACAAATACAACTCCCCTACACTGGTTAAGATTTCAAAGTCTGCAGGTTTTAAAACCCTTTATTCCCGGTCCTGGAAATTGGACAAGCCCCAAACCCCTTTCAAGATTGCAGTAACCCAGGGACATTACACTAGTCATTGCACTTTTGATGTATAGTATGAACACAGTCCAAGATAGATTTAAGCAATTCAAAACTTAAGGCAGACCCCAAAAGCACCTTCATGCTGCAAGTAAAGATTGTAAACAAGGTCCAGGGAAGCAGGCACAACAGTAAAGGGTGCTCAAGTCTTTTTCATGAGCACTAAGGAGAAGCTCTAATCCCTGCTGGCAGAAGGGGGCAGGCCAAGTCTAAATTCAGCAGCAAGACTGAATTTACCTTCTTGCCATACATGGCACTTTCTGAAATGCTGGTGGCCTACCCCTGAAAAATAGGCTTCAAAATTTGTACTCACATAAAGGAGAAAAGTAAAAAATATGACCTTCAACACTTTAAATCATTATGAAATACACTAATTCAGGGGCACAGAAGAAGCAGAGCTCCTTCCTTCAGACAGCCCTGGTTTATACCAGCCAGCACTGCTTGCCAAAATGACTGCTTCAGCTCCTTCTGCAGCCTCTCCACTTGTTCAGACATTAGCACACGCACCCATTCCCTGCTATTCACATTTGCAAGTTTTCTTTGCCATCACAAGCACTAAAAAAATTTATTTTTACGAGCATAGCTTCCTAAAGGAAAGGAAGTTTATAGAATTGCACTTCAATTATCTTCCTCCCTAGCAGTGCCTAAACCCAACAGCCAATTTCTAACCAAGTTTGATGAAAGAGTAGAGGTAACATAGATACAAAATCCCAATGTGCTTTATGAAAATAGGTAATTCTATAGAAGATCCTTCTCCACTCACAGAAAGGTTGCCTTCAACGCTACCCCTTGATGTCAGTAAATCCACAGAGGGGAGCCCTTATATTTGATCCAAGCATAAGGAAAGTTTTAACTGGAGCCAATTTTTTTTTTAGATATCAAAATCAGTCAGGCTTAAGACAAAAAAAGATTGAGGGGCGGGAGGGAAGTCAAACCTCATTTAATTCTATGACTCATGGAAATACTTGTTATCTAAAGAAAAGATAACTGTTGTCTTCGTGCGACTCCAGGAATTGTGACCTATACACACTTATGACTTCAAAACTGCACATTTAGTCTTTAACAGAGCTAATACAGAGGGGTTAGCAACTTGCCATCTCCTCTCTTCTCATATGACCTGGAAAAATACCTTCCTTGGTCCTGATCCTTCACAGGGGAAAGCCACCCCCATTCATACCCACTCAAGGCAAGAAACTGAAAGACAAAGCATCACGCCCGAACTTCATGCAGGCACTTTCTCTTCCCCATCATTACATTCTCACATATTGTCCTTGGTGCTACACCAAAGATTTCTACGCTGATAACTGTACTGAATAAAAAATGTGGGAGAAGCATTTTGAAAGGTCCTTTAACCTTTAAGGCCATAAGATTACAGTTCTCAGGTAGTGAATCTTTGAGTTTAACACAAACTTAAACAGAATTTTAACCCAAAGACTCCTATAGATAGACGTAGATCACATGACATGACTAGTGCAGGGAAGTAGCCGCCCATACAGAGTCTTCAGTCTCTCACAGCGTGCACAATGCAAAGTGACTGGAACAGGAGCCTCCTTCACTGTTATATTCCATATGAGTATTTTACCCTTAAGTCAGAAAGAGGAAGCAGTCACCAAGTGTGTCCAAATGAACTTGCATAATGTCAGACTAACCACTAAATAAAGGTAATTAGTCAAATGAAAGATTTCACATCATTTATGTGGTATGAAAAAAGAGGGAAAAAAACCCTCAAACCTGAAATAGAAGAATCTAACCACTGATATATGACCTATACTTTCGGAGGGGTGAGGAAGAAAGAATTGGCATATTTAAAACAGGTTCAAGTTATGTACATATATACATGAGAAGTCACTTAAGACCTAAATAACCTTGTGAGCAATATACTTGCTGTCTTAAACATACCATATACAAGTAAGCCTCCATTAATTTTTCATTTCCCTATCTCACTGAGAGATAGCCAACAGCTTTTTTGAGGTCAGTTCCGTGGCTGTCCCTGTATTTTTTTTTTTTTTTTTAAATGTCTTCTCAGTGCCTTGAAGGCCCATTTATCATCTTTGCATAGCATGCAAGAACAAGGAAACCATTGATCTCTGCCTCTGCCACACGCTTGAAAGCTTTCAGGAAGCTACCGTTAACATTTTTTAATTCACAGAAAATACATATGGAAAAGGTGTTCTCACATTGATGCTTATCTAATATGAGATGAATTAATATATATACATTCAATATTTACCAGGCAGTGTATCTGCCCATGGGAACAAAAGCCTCATAAATCATAGCTGTTCCCTACCTACTACATATTGGAGGTGAAGAAACCCCACTTCAGCAGCACACCACTGCTAGGGAACTCATGGAGTTTTGTAACCTTTCTCTGGGGATTATGAGAATTGTTTTCTCCTGTCCTACAGCGGGAGACTACTGCAATGGCTGCAGCTTTTAGTTGCTACCAAATCACACAGTGGGGATTAGAGAAAATGGTTTTTTTTCAAACATCTGTTAGAGATGTGAAATTAAATCATTTGGTCACTCAGCAACTATAACTCAGTTTTCTCATCTGTAAAGAAGGAAATACTCCTATGTTTCTTCCTTGGTAAAAGAATTTTGTAAATTATTAGTAACAATTTATCCCCAGTGGTCTAGATCATGAGGAAGTTGCAGCTTTTCACTCCTCCTCAGACTACATCCTAATGGTAACAAAATCAACATCTTTAGGTACACACCAATATCCTGCCATATAGGCTTTATTAAGGCATATTATGACTACTACCATGCTCTCACTACGATAATACAGTATTTACAATCATATCATAGCACCACCCCAGCTTTGTGGTTAATCTGCTTGAACATATCCACCTCTGTATTTGCATGAAATCTGGCTAATCAGTAACTCATTAGTAATACTTAGACATAAGATTATATTACATTAATAATACTTAAACATGGAGATCATATCGCAGGCTCTGTTGTAATTACAGTAAGTTTTAATTTGAGGTTCTGAAATGGATTACCAGCTGAGCCCAAATGCACGCTGTTATTAAAATATTTTAAGACCTGAAGACAGACAGACAATAACAGTTTTAGCTGTTACTAGCACATTGGCAGCAACAAAAGCAAACAGACACAGATGCCAGCTGAGTAAAATTGCAAAGAAACTACAAAAAGCAAGAAAAATCAGAAGTCTTGATATCCAGAGAGCCGTGCAAGTGAACATAAGCCCAGAACAACACTTGAAGACTTAGGAGGGGAGAAATATGATATAATTCCTTTAAACACTAAATGACAATTCCTTTAAACACTAAATGACATGTACTGTAATCAAAGTGATTTGGTAACTGATGCTGAAACAATAATGACCATGCCGTCACTAACACAAGAGGGAGCACTTAAAAAAAATAAATATATAAATATAGATCAAGAGACAATTGGGGAGAGAGCATTAAAAGAAACTCCTAGACAAAAGAACAAAGCATCAAGTTACCAGAAAAATGAATACACACCCACACACCACCACACCATGGCAGTTTCACTGACATAATTAACAGATGAATTAGAAAACAACATTCTTGGTTAAACAGCTGCAACTTTTTTGCTGTAGTACCACCATCTGTAAAGTGGAACTGGGTCATGATGACCTATCAAAAACCCTTACGAGTATTTAGTTCTACATACATAAGCACACACTTCTCTGTCTCAAGAGTTGTTCAATTTTCTCTTGCTTATACTTTCACAACAGCAACCATCCCAGTACACTTTTAAAAAGACATAACAACAACAATAAGACCTATTTGAAATCAGAAAAGCACATTGATAGTTTATGAGACCTTTATTTTCATAAACATAACAACATTCTTAACTGACCACCTCTCACTAAAACAAAAAAATCCCACTTAATTGCAAAAGTAAGTTGGCCAAAACACAGTATGTTCCCTTTTACCATGGGGTCACATTGTGACAATCAGCAATTCAGCCTGGTAATCCTGTTCTGGTTTTGTAGGTATTTATTTAAAATAAATTTGAAATATCACATTAATGTACAGAAATGCATAAGCTGTTCAACGCTTCAGTACATCCACATTTCTACCCTTTAAGCCAGAGCAGACCAATACTAAAGCTGTCTGCAAGCCTTTAGAAAGATGTAGTGTCTTTCTGCTGAATACAGTAATTATTTGCCTTTGAGAAAAGCAAAAGGCAAAGAATCTAGTTAATTGAAAATAAAAAAGATATGTTTATATCAACTAAATCAAGAAACATTCTTCGCTACTTCTGACACTATTACATTGTTCAAGAGCAGCTAACAAAACCATTACTACTAACATAATAGCAAGTACTGCAGTTTGGATGGGACTGCTCATTAGCTGCAAACCAACAAGAAATTTACTTTCTAATTAAAGAAAAAAAAAAAGCATTGTGTGAAAAACCTCCCAAGTGTATGGTGTAGTACCACAACCTGATGAGGCAGGTAGCAATAGATAATTAAGACCATGGCAACTAATACAGCATTTGTGCATAAGTTTCTCCAACATGACCTTTTCTTCTTTTTCCTCATCTCCTTCCCATTTTCCATGTGTTTCATCTATCCATTGAGATATCTCTCCTCTCAGGAGCCATACTGGATAGAGACTATACTTCCATTCTTTTGCAGGGGGAAAATAGGCTCTAATAGCCTATTTAGAAATCTTACAACTTTCTAATAGTACAATAGCAACATGAGGAAAAAACAGCATAAAATAATCCACCCATTCTCCTAATAGCCCACTGTTGGAGCAAAGTAAATGAGACCTAAAATACTGGTGTAAGACTAGCCTTTAACTATATTTCACCAATATATCATTCAAACTAAAAGGCAGAGGTAAAAAAAAAATAAATCTGTCGAGTTGCATATTCACTGTACTCTGTATCTCCTTTTAGTTCTCACAGTAAATGCAGTGCCTTACCAGATCAGCATCAATGTCTACTCTATTGCCTTTAAAAATGGAGAGTGCCAGATACATAGGAAGAAATAATTAATTAGGAAAAAAAAAAGCAAGCAGCATTCCAGGAAAAACTCATTTAAAAATTAGCAACTACAGAGTTGAAACCCAAGGCATAAGGGATTGGAGAACGGTACACACAGGAACAAAGAGTTTATTTTTTTGTGGTCAGAAAGTATGAGAGATAAGCCCCTGGGAACCAAGAAGCAGCTGACAGAAGAGCGTTATGGTTCTGGTTTCTTACGTGTATCTAGCCACACATTTTTATGGACAAGTGCAACATAGTAATATGAAGAAATAATTTGAAAGAATTAGTTTTCATGTTTAGTAGATGGATATTACATTTAAAAATGACTTTTTTTTCTTTGAAGTTTTATGCATTATTTAATTTAAATTAGAGAAAAGAAATAACAAGGTTGTAAGAAGCTGTGAGAATTTTTTTTCCCTTTTAAATACCAAATATCTAGTCTAACATTCCCTAGTTTTGCTGGCTGAATCTCTTGGAGATTTAAAAATCAATACACTGTGAGCTCCAGAACTTCAATGGGTTATGAATATAACGTTCGAAGAGACTCTCTGTTTAAGATTCATTAAGCACTAGAATTAAAAACAAGCTGCCAAAGCGCATACAGATTAGTGAGGTTAGATTTGGATATGGGTCTTTCCTTTAAAGATCCCTAATCTCATACAGAATTGCAGCAAAATGAGTGAGGCTCTGTGGGGATGAGTGGGTTATAAGCAAAAAAGGGGAGAGTGCCGTATGAACTCATTGCAAGATACAGAGTTAAGCAGTGATGGTATCTCTCTCCTCTCCCCTGCTTAACTTTTAGTACCTTATAACTATAATTGCAAAAGCTTCTCTACTTGCCACCATCTCTTAGCTAGAAATTTCTCGTGCAAGTACAATCCTGCATTTTATAGCCCTTCTAAACTGCACCTGTAGACAAGCCCCCTGCGTCTAGAATACCTGCAATGCACCCTTCCTTCTCCAAAATCTGCTGGTTTTAAATTTGATGAAAAATATAGGATCTGAAGTACAAAAAATTCCTTTTCTCCCTTAACTCTGTCATTAGCCTAAAGTGTTGCACAACTAAATCTAATTCTTGCACAACTAAATCTAATATGGACACAAGTAGTCTCCAAATAATGTAAAAACATTTCTGCCTTTAGAGTATACATGTGCGTTGCCAAAGATAATCCGCAAGAAATACAAAAGTAAATCTTAATATACTGACTACTCATTTTTGGTAGTGCTTATTTAAGTAACAAGAAACTAATAAGGCAAGAACTACTAAGGGCTTAAGTTCAAAACGTAAATCGGAGTATGCCAAAGGCATACTCCAAATTTACTCAGGTGTAAATTTGTGATCCATGCAACCTTCTGAAAAGTCAGAATTATACAGTAACTTTGAATTAATCCTATGCAACTTGCATAGCATTTTCCTGCTTTAAAAAAAGCCCACAGCAAGTGCACAGGGTTGTAACAGTTATAGGGGTAGTTGTTATTTATTTATGGGATTCCATACTAGTGTTCAACTTTGAATCAAGCGTATCCACTTAGCTAGACAGACTCTTTAACATGCAGCATGAGTGAGCGGCCTTCATGATTACATCCAGTTCTCTCCAGGACCTTCAAATGGCAAGTCTAACCCTGAAGCCCGCTGAACACAGCCAACGGGCTGCTAGGGGAAGATCAAGTCCAGAAGACTTGCCTTCACCACAAAACCAACCTAACTACAACTAGTGTCTTGAAGCTTACGAAGATCTTCCAACACACCAACGCCTTTCTTTCAGCTGTTTAATTTCATTACCTCTCCTTGGACATACTGGTAAAAAACAAGGGGGGAAAATAAAGTAATTGGTGATTAATACAGCCAAGCTGATGTGACTAAAGGCTCAGAGTGCCATTAATCAGTGTAAAGATTTTCAACATTATCTCCTCCCCCATCAGTATATCTCAAAGTATTTCCCCGTGGCAGCATGGACCTTTGTACAGTGAACAAAAGCCCGTTGACAGCAGGCTTGTTTTCATTATTTTCTCGTGATGGACCCCTTTTAAGTTGTCTGTGGTTAAAAATCATTGCTTTAATACAATCTCAGTTTCCCCTGTACATCTTTTCTTGGCACCTCCTGACACTAGACTAGCAGATGCTCCTGAATTCACATTGGTCACATCAACTTTTGAAAGTCATGTTCACATTGGGCTCCCAGCAACAGTGATCATCCAACTCAAGTCAAGGACTCTGCTAAACTGCAAATGCAGCCAGAGGGAAAGTTTTCCAATATATTATCAGCTACTCCCCACCAGCTGACAAAGACTCTAGAGGATCTCTGATATGAGGTCAACAAGGAACAAAATTTCAAGGTTAATACTCAGAATTCAATGATATCTACAAGAAATTCTGACAGAAAATAAGCTGGGCTTATGAGTAAAATACAAATTATCTAAATTAAGTAGAAAAAAAAATCTAGTTTAGTTTGTGATGAAAGTTAAGAATAGAGCTGACTAAATGGAACATTTATTTCAAGATTACCAGGAACACTCACATGCTTGTCCCATACCACAACTCCACTATTTGTGCATGATGTCAGCAAATCGAGAATAGCTCTTTCCCCTAGCAAAATAATAGTAAGAGGAAGCATTTATCTTTGATACTGGAATTATTACTTCCTTATAATAAGCTGTTTCCTCTAACTTGTATATTCTGTACTCTAATTGATTTTAGCTTGCAAGATAATACTTCTGAATATATTTTCTCTGGAAGTTAGACATCAACCTCTTTGACCAACTAGATGTGCCCAGCATTATTTATTTATTTTTATTCATACAAGAATTCTTACAAAAAGGTATTTTCCTGACTTTTCATATTCATGAATGTTGCTGCCTACAGGCTTCTCTAGACAGTGTACCTCTAACAAGAATGGAAAAAAATGAAGCACCAACAGCACTAAAGCTAGGACACATATGAGACAAAAACATACTAAACTCCGCATATAATGTTACTAAAGAAATTTCAGAAAAACAGGTGGCTTGATCCAGGTGTCTGGGGCTACACTCCCAAATCTTCAACTTACAGCTGTAGCTCCAAGTGAGTCAAGCTAATTGGCTAGGTTTATTGGATGATATTTTCAAACTTTAAAATGAAAATTACTCCTTTGAATTTAAAGGTAACTAAAAATCTTGATACCCTACACATGAAAGCCAACATTAGGATTCATTTTTGTCACAACTAGGGCCCACTTAACTGATGGATATATGTGACAGGAAAAAAGACAGAAACATAATAATTAGATCATCTCCCTATTCACACCGATATGTTAGCAGGAGTGCAACTGTGATAATAAAATGAAATGTATACAAAGGTTTTATAAAAATCAGTATACACGGTACAAATTAGGGGGAGATTAACAGTTAGCATTTTAAAACAAGAGGTGATCAATGACTGAAATTACATGTACTAGTTCTACCAATCTGTCAGCAACAGTGATCTGTGAATTTGGAAATTATTTAGCTAACTCTTGCAATCAATACCCCAGCCCAGAAAAATGTCAGTGGTCACTGGCCCCAGAAGTGTCATTGGTTTTCGGATAAGTAGTATATTCTCCACAATGGAAGCATTTTCAGAGCTTTTGTAGTGTCTGAGCAACATTTCTTGGTACTTCCATTAGTAAGCATCAAAAGAATCAATTGAGACACAAAAATGTATTTTGTCCTAAAACACAAACTGGACTACTAAAGTAACTCATTGACTCATGACTAACTTTCCTTAAATTTATTTTGTATGGAAAATTAAACACAGTTTAAAGAAATCTTACCATCATGAATCTCAAATGCCAAACTAGTGATCTTCTGTGTAATTATCATCATTGGACTGTTACAAAAAAGGAAGGAAGAAAGAATAATTTAGAAAAAAGTTCAGGATTTTCTTTCACATGTAAATATCAGGGAAAGTTTATACTAATAGTCCAGGTTAATTACTCTCAGTTGGAAGATTTTCAATGCAAGGACAAAGTGATTAGTTTTTGGAGCTCAAACCATTCATTCAATGCAATGAAAAGAATTTAATCCTTAGATACAGTATTTGATAACCCATGCCTTTTATTGCTGCATTAGGTTCCACAAAGACAGCCAAAGTGTTTCACATTCATTTTCTACTAACAGAGTTTATTTTTTTTACAGTGGGAAGAGTAAAGAAAAAAGGGCAGTAAGAGCAATTATATGCATTGTTAATTACAGCAGCAGTAAGCAAAGGACAATAAAAATATACCAAAGTTGAACAGTACTATAATTTATTTAGATATGCAGACCACTTCCACTGTTTCTACTAACACCTGGTCCTATGCTTAATTTTTCCATCTACAATTATTATATGCTTCAAGTAAATATATCTGGCAAAACAAAAACCCAGCATAATTATGCTGGCTCCAACTAACAGAGTTTAGTTAGTTTTTAATTTGGTACCCTTGAGTGGATCTTAAACTGTCAAAGAGATATTCTTCCCTGGCTAAGCAAGTCAGCTTTATACTGAGAAATTATACCATCTTTGTAGTATCTAAGAGTTTTTGACTGATGTCAATCCCAGCATTGCTAACCCCCTGTCTGGCGGGAAGGAGGGGATAGGGGAAAGCATAAAGTAGGCTACCAGAATTTAGAAATTTAACTTTGAAATCAGATCTCAAAAATGTATCAGGGACTGTATTTACCCAGTAGTATCTGAGCTGGAGACAAACACCTCCCCCCCCCACCCCCCCCAACAAAATAATCATACTGTAGGATGGGCACTTAGTTTTGTTCAAGTGTTTTGACTGCACTTGGCCTTTTTTACATTTAAGTTGGCACAGAAAAACAAATCCAAGAGCCATCAAGCCCTCCTTCATTGACAGGGCTATGCCAGTATTTTGCCAGATGGCTCAGTCTGTCAAATTAATTTTTTTTAGGTTATGGTTATTTCAAAGCACACAAGGTTTCCAGTCCTCAAAATGCAATCAGGGAGAAAGTTTTTTTCTACTGTATTATCAGTGCCCCAAAATCCTGATATCAAGACTAGAGTGACAGGCAAGGGTCAGCAAGGAAGAAAACTGAACAAGAACAGACAGTCTGGGAAAACCCTCATCTCTCTTTCTAGCATTTAAGCTGTAGACCTGTCTGGTGCTGGCAGAAATCCCCAGTTGATTCTGAACATAATGGGTTTTCCTTCTGTAAGTGGGCATGTGACAGCATGGATTCTGCCTGATGGAAGGATGGAGGCCAGGAGGAGCTCAGTCAGACCTTACATTAATTCTGGCGGATACATCCGTCATTGTTATCATCGCAGACCCCGGCATTTTTTTTTTCTTCTCAAGTGGCTATTCCAGTATCTTCAGAGATTTGGCTAAGGAGCAACAATCTAGAGACTAAAAGAGGAAGAGTCCTTCCTGGAACAGTGAGGCTGTGAACCAGGATTTTAACAAAATCCCTTTTAAGTGCTGGCAGAAAGGCAAAGGAGGCAGTGGAATGCTCACTGGCAGCTGGGATCTGTTCGCACTGAAGCCAGGACCACACAGCTCTGCACAAGGAATTGCACCTCCAGCACGAGGTCTCCTCAGCTTTCTCCACTGTCAGTGCATTGATACTTTCCTTCAAACTTTTTGCAGATTCTCTGGGCTTGGACACCTCAGATGGGCATGGCATGCTAGGAAAAATATCTAGGTAAACAGACATTCAAAGCTCTTCTGGGGCTAACTACTATATGAATCCACATCAATATCTTTGGAAGAACTTGCTGGTGCTGGTGTTCAACAGCTGGTTAGGCAACTTTTGTTATTTTCTTGAGCTTAACTCTTCCCCTGGAACTAGAGAAAATTGACAGAAAATAGCCCCCTTCGGTTCATTTTCTTTCTCCTCCTGTTTTGGAAGTAACCTCTGTCTCAGGCCTCAAGGGAGCAGATGCAGTATATGCCAGAGATTTAATGTGATATGCATAAATCAAGCTCCCCAACTGGCACATGAAAGGATGGTTTAAATCAGGCAGCTCAAACATACAATCAGAGTTGGATCTAGGCTTCAGAACAATTCTATCCAGAGCATAGATCTCAAACCTTTGGATGTGTTTAGACCTAGCAGAAATCTCTGAGCTAACACCAAACCAACAGAGCCACAAAGACAGCTGCTATCTGAAAGCGGTACAGTCTAATTTGAGCAATGGTGTACTCAAGTTCTATTAACAGTTTGAGAGCAGCAGCAAACAAGTGCAGTTACACTGTTTCCAGAGTCAGCTCAGAGCTTTGATCACTGCCAAGGTTGTACACTTTGGCCCTACAGTGAACTAGAAGGGACAGCATTTGGATTATAGTTCCACTTGTAATGGTGAAATTTAATTCAACACCTGTAAACCTAAGTTTTAAAGTGTCTTTAGGCACACGTCTGTGTTGCAAGCTCTCATTATAGCCAGTGGAGATCTAGTCAATAGAGTCAGGGGCATCTGATAAGTGACCCAGTTCATGCTAAGGTAGATACTTAGCAGTGGGTCAGCTGAAATGCTCTCCAGGCTCTACTGTCTACATTGATCAGATCTCCACTGACTACAATCAGAACTTGGATATCTGGCTTGAAGGCAGGCACTCTGATGTAGGCATAAATGTAGAAAGATGTTTCAGAAGGTAAGACCCAGCTAAAAATGACAGAAAAGATTAACTTAACCATAAAAGCTTTTGGCTTCAGCCCAGAAGTTAAGCTTCTGGACTACATGCCTGTTACCAAGGAAGACTGAGAAGCAACAAGGCTAACAAGCACAACTCTACTATACAACACAGGTGATACTGAACTATAAAGACCACTGCCATTCATAGTATTCCTGAAAAGTATTTAATGCTTTTTTTTTTTTTTTAAGATGACTAGCAAACACTCCCCTTCTCTTTTTTCCAAAATACATACTTTCCTTTAAATCAACAAAAGCACCATCACAGTAGCAAACTTATTTATGGGAAATGCTGTGCTTCACTTCTCTGTGCCTGAGGTACAAAGAAGAATCACCAATATGGTTTATTTTTACTTTGCCTATTTAATTCTATTTTACTCCTATACAGCTCAAGTCAAATATAGGTTTAAGTTCATTATATAAAATGAGAACACATATAGACAAAACTTTCCATTTCCAAGGGCTGTGTGACTACTCCACCATATAGGTGCCTCTCTCCTTAGCTTTTCCTTCTGGAACATCTAACATAAAACCAGAAAACAAAGAAGCTAAAAGCTAAATTCCATAAAACATTCAGATTTTCCTCACAAAGTGGTATCAGACTGTGCCAGGCATGCAAGTACATCAGATACAATTCAAGCTTCATCATGGGTGGTAACAGAGATTTTAGGGGAAAAAGCAAAAGCAAAAGAATCCCACAGCCACTAAATCCTTTATGCCCTTCAGACAGGAACAGGAGGCAGCAGATAAACGCATTCACAGTTCTAACAGACACAACTGTTCCCAAAATTCTCAGTTTGCATGCTTAAAGCATAGGTACATATATATTTGTATGTGTGCCAATATGCACTCACATGCCCAGCTTTTTCCCAAAGTTTAAAAGGTTGACACACTTAACTTGGAAAAAACCCAGTAACAGATACAGTATCACTTAGGAGAACAAGATGGAAAGATTATTTTTCTCCTTACCCAGAAAAATCAGCAGAATATTGTCCATAATCAAAGATATAGACTCTAGTAATTTGGCACACAGTGAGGTATCCCAAAGCAAAAACAAAGCAATACCTGGAAGGAAAATGGAAAAAAAAGCTTTTCAATTAAAAACCATAAACATTTCTCCATTGAATAAGCTACCTTTTAAGTAGAGTTTAGTCTCCAATTATTTCTAGTGAATATTACATAATTGGACTGTGTAATTACACCTTCATTCTGATTGTTTTTTTGGTAATATTTGTTCTATGCAAGCACAGACTTTTTTTTTAAGTGTGCAATACTAACTTAGAAATACTACTGTCACTAGCCAAATTATTTATTCACATAAAGAAAGCATAGGATTTATAATTTCAAGCACCACTGTAAAAAAACTGTAAGTCCTATAAAGAGAAAATGAATCTGTGAAGCTTTTTTTTAGTTCAAAGTTAATTTTTGTCTACATAAGCATAGAAATTTGGCAAATTATACATCAAACATCATTTCCATTGAATGTATTTCTATACATTCAAAATTCAGCACCACAAATCCCACTGCTGCTGTTTTCAAAGGAACTGGAAAAGGCAATTAGTTTTCAAATACACACATTAAAACATATCTGAGTGAAAAAGGAACAGGATGCCTTTATGCCTCCTGTTAAAGCTGATCCTCAGCAAATGTAAGAAAAACACAGATAAGAACCACCTTATATAAGTGTTATAATTTTAATTTCACATTTTTTTCAGGTCAGGGTTGGGACTTTTTTTTTTTTACCCCCCCTTTGTAAGATGTACAACAGTATACTAATGAGAACTGATTTGTCAATACACCTCACAAAATCTGCCAGATATTTATTCTTTACAGTCAAAAAGGACGGGGAATGGCAGCAGGAACTTAACTAATCCTTTAAGACTTTATGTATGAACTTCACAGTCTTGAACTTTTCCATATAACTTTGATTTCATTACCATGAATGTTTCCTAACACTTGTGTAATGTTCACAAGACTAATGTGCAATCCCTACAGCAGACCATATTAGACATTCAAAATCCAGTTAGAAGGAAAATATTCATACACCAAATGGGAAATCATCACTAGGGCTGGATTTAGGTGAAACAGTGAGGGACACTACAGGAAGAGCTTGGAACATGCTTTTCCTTTCTTTTCCAGATAACTATTTTTGCAAAAAAAGTGTTAACATAATAAATTCTACAGTCTTAGAAATTATTCTTCAATCTGAAAGTGATACCTGTTTTTGCCTCACAGAACACTTGCAGTTTAACATTTAATTAAGAATTGTGTTAGATATAAGCTATTTAATATTTTAAAACACCCAACTTTCAAATTACAGATTACCTTATATCTCAGTCGCTACATTAAACCACACTTGTTACTTTAAAAAAAAGTTTAGGGTGCCTGTTTTAGCAATAGTTTATTTTCTGTTTTCATGAATATTAATAATCCAGAAACAGTATTATATTGGGTAGCTAATTGGTACAGAAGTGTTTATAATAAGAATCCAACAAAATTACACAATAATTGGCTCAAAATTATACCAAATTATTTCAGCAAGAAAAACAATTTAACACAATTAAGTAGTATGTAGTGGACTGCAGCTATCAGGAGTATGATATAAGGTAAAACCCTTTTTAAAAAGTTTGGAATTAAAATTTTCCTGAGATATTCTAAGAAAAACTACCCCCCCCCCAAAAAAAAAGTCACCCAGGTTTCACATGAATGAGGAGTATGTGGGTTTAGTTTGCCCACGCTGAAATCAGTCCCAGCTCTTCCATTCACTAAAAATTCAGTATGATTTTCAGCTTTACCAGCCTCTTGATTTACATAGTAAACAATCCTAGATTACAAGTAACTTGGTATGTGTAGAGATACCTACATACCCACCCATAGATACCACACTAAAAAGCAAAGAAAAATTAAAATGCTGTAGTTTTCTTTACAAGACTCTTATTTCGTCCTCACTGGCAAGATCATGTATTTATTAACAACGGTCTATTCACAGTATATTGCAATAGGTCTAGAATAAACAGAATTACAAAAGTGATGCTAACTACAGCTTTCATAACTTAAAATGCTATCTATAGCAGCAATACATACTTTGTTGGGACAAGAAACTCACTTAATAAATTAGTGGATTAGGTACACACTCTCAGATAGAAGAAAACAGACACCAGTTTCTACATCATACAGTTTATGTCGTAAAATATTTATGCTGTTTTTAAACAAGACATTACAAAGACTCCTTTTTGCAAGCAGAAAAACTAGACTGATAAGTACAACTGAAGATAAACTAACAAATATCCTAAAAGAAGAAAAGCACTGAGAAGTCAGGAAACCTTAGGTTCTTTTCTATGTAGTCATTATGATACAATCTTGCAGCATTATGTGAACATGCAACTGCAAATTCCTGTCTCATTGCAGAAACAGGTCATTATCCTGGATATTTTTCAAAGGTTTTGCATTCAAGTTCAAGACACATCCAGTGATTTCACTTATTGCATACCTTCCACATGCTGAACTCAAGGAGTTTGGGATTTCCCCATGAGCACTTCCTCAGCTATTCTCCATGTATTCAAGCGTTTCATAAAAACTGCATTCCTCTTTAAGATGAATTTTAGTGATACATGGGTCTGAACATGAAACTGGGGAGATGCAAGGTCAATTCTTGGGTGAACTTATCTTTTTTTAAAGGATGGCAGAAAGGATGTCAGCAGTGCATTTCAGTCACACACGCACACACAAGTGCTCTGTACTTCTACAAATCTAACCACAGGTGTTCCATGAAAGTTTATATTTGTAGCTAACACAAGTAGTTTAAAACACATTGTAGTGTCCTGCACTTAGGAACACAGACTGAGGCAGCAATGTTACCCAATTATGGAACAGTGAAATGTGTAGGGCAGTTTAAAGGTTACTTCTTCACTTGCAGGTTCCTGTGGCTTAAATGCCTTCCAACTCCCACTGCAAGTTAACTTTCTACGATGAAATGACTGGCCTGGTAGATGAGGGGAGAGCAGTGGATATTGTCTACCTGGACTTCAGAACAGCTTTTGACACTGTCTCCCGTAAGATCCTCATAGACAAGCTGATGATGCATGGGCTCGACGAGCACACAGTGAAGCGAGTTGAAATGGAGTGACTACATCAGTGGACAAGGGAAGAGCTACAGATGTCGTCTATCTGGACTTCTGTAAGGCCTTTGACACGGTCCCCCACAACATCCTTCTCTCTCAACTGGAGAGGGATGGATTTGATGGGTGGACTATCCGGTGGGTGAGGAATT